TTTCTCTCATCTGCTCTTCCTTTGTCTTTTTAAATGCATTTCTTTTTGTTGTCCTCCTTCCTTCATTATTAACCAGTATTCTCATTCACACTCATTCACTCACATTTCTTTTTCTCTGTCCTCCGTATCCTGGATTTTTCTTCACTCTTACAGGGGTGTTCTATTTAAACATTTCCAACCCATTTCTCCTACTCAGGTTTAAGTATGACATCTCACTGCCAGCTGCTTTTTAACCAGAATTCCTCTCTCTCATCTCACACTCCACAAAAGTTCCAAGAGATACTTATCAGCTCTCCACCTAAATTGTGACGACTTTCTTCTTACTTAAGCTGGAAAAGTTGGTGTCATTTGTTTATATCATTTAGCACAGTTCCTTTGGCCCATGGCTCTAGCTGTTTGTTCTTTCTCACTGCTGTCCCCTTGGTATGCAGTGTGTAGGTTTGGGGGAGCTGGTGCATATGAGATGGCAAGATCAAATGCCCAGTACCTCCTCTCAGATGTGGGACAGTGGCTTCGCAGGTCATCTTAGTGTACTCATTTAAACGCCGTGGTCATGGCTCATCGAACCATCAATTTAAAGAAATTAGGATAGCTCTGTCATAAAATTTAGGAAAATTTAGCTATGAAAATTAGGGGTGCCTTTTATGATAGCTAATATGGACAACGTCTGCACTATTGCTGTAAAGCTCATACAAGGGTATTGTAAAACTATAGAAGTAGAGTTGCAGTACTAAAGGTTTTTGTAAAGACAGATAAGATGTTCCCACTCAATCAATTTCATAATGCAGGAATTAGTGGAAATTTATTGAAATTAATAGGTATGAAATTTAGAAAAGTTAGCACAATTGCTTCACAGATTATCTCATTAATCAAGATGTACGTTTTCTTTTACAGAAAAATGGTGAATCATATGAATAGAATGGATGAATGAATGAGTAAGCTAGTGTCTGTAGAATGTCAAACTGGTTGGCTGAGAAGTGAAAAATTTCAATTAACTTTATTTAGCATTTATAGTAAGAAGTCGTTATTGAGAAAAGTAGTGTTTGAAAAGGCTATGAGCAAAACAAAGCCACATTTTGCCGTGAAAATTTTAAAAGCATTGTGTGAATAGGTAGTTTGTGCTTGGCTTTAGATTTGTGACACTTGTAGTATTTCAGAAACTTAGGAAATTTTTTCCATATTATCTAGTTATTTCTCATAGAAAATGTATTTCTTTAGGATTTTTTTTTCTGTTTGGATTGAGAGAGTGAGCGAGCCATCATTTATGATACAGTTCAGTTTATAGTTCACTGTGCTTGTCAAATTGAAATTCATCTGTTATTGTGGTGTTTTTGGGATAGGTTCTTTTGATAGGTATTTAGATATATAGAGCTCAGAGGCCAAGAAACATAACAAGTGTCAAACATGTGCTCACGTGACTTAATTTCCCTGACTTTATATATTTTTCCTTACTGTGTCATTCAAGCATCTACTTGATTCTGGTAATTTTGAAATTCATGCACAGAATTTTTTCATTATATGCATTTCCAGGAACTTTTTGAATGCGCTGTGTATGGGACCTATGGAACATATTTTTATTTTAAATTTACTTCATAAAAGCAAGCACAGACACTTAGCATTTTATCAAACTAAAGGTCTTGGGGCCGGCGCCGTGGCTCACTTGGTTAATCCGCCTGCAGCACTGGCATCCCGTATGGACACCGAGTTCTAGTCCCAGTTGCTCCTCTTCCAGTCCAGCCCTCTGCTGTGGCCCGGGAAGGCAGTGGAGGATGGCCCAAGTGCTTGGGCCCCTGGGAAAACAGTGGAGGGTGGACCGAGGGCTTGGGCCCCTGCACCTGCGTGGGAGAGTAGGAGGAAGTACCTGGCTCCTGGCTCCTGGCTTCGGATCGGCGTGGCTCTGGCCATAGTGGCTGATGGAAGGAAGACCTTTCTCCTGGTCTGTCTCGCTCACTGTCTAACTCTCAATAAATAATAAAAAAACTAAAGGTCTTGGGGGCAGGTGCCATGGCATAGCAGGTAAAGCTACCTCCTGTAGTGCCGGCATCCCATATGGGTGCTGGTTCATGTGCTGGCTGCTCCTCTTCTGATCAAGCTCTCTGCTGTGGCCTGGGAAAGCAGTAGAAGGTGGCCCAAATCCTTGGGCCCCCGCACCCATGTGGGAGAACAAGAGGAAGCTCCTGGATTCGGATCGGCTCAGCTCAGGCCATTGCGGCCAGTTGGGGAGTAAACCAGCAGATGCAAGACCTCTCTTTGCCTCTCCTTCTGGCTTTCAAATAAATAATTCTTAAAAAAACTTAAGGTCTTTTGCACAGCAAAGGAAACTTCATGAGAGTGAAGAGACAACCTACAAATGAGAGGAAATATTTGTAAGCCATACATCTCACAAGGGGTTAATATCCAAAATATATAAGATAAGACAACTCAAAAAGCAAACAGCTACAAGAAGTAATTCAATGTATGAAGGCATGATGGATCTAAACACTTTTCAAAGGAAGGCATACAAATGGCCAACAAGTACATGAAAAAATGCTCAGTATCATTAATCATCATGGATATGCAAATCAAAACCACAGAAAGGGGCCAGCATTGTGGCATGGCTGGTTAAGCCTCTTGTGACACTGGCATCCTGTGTTAGTGCCAGTTAGAGTGTGGGCTGCTCCGCTTATGAACCAGCTCCCTCTTAATACACCTGGGCCCCTGCCATACTTGTGGGAGATCCAGATGGAGTTTGAGGTTTGTGCCTTCATTCTGGCCCAGCCCCTACTATTGAAGATGTTTGGGAGTGTATCAGTGGATAAAAGATCTTTCTCTTCTCTTCCTTCCCCACTGGCCCCATCTCTTTAACTCTGCCTTTTAAATAAATAAACAAAACAACAAAAAAGATAGCAAGTGTTTGTGAGGATGTAGAGGAAAGGGAATACTTGGACATTGTTGGTAGGATTTAAATTATTATAACCATTGTGGAAAACAGTATGGGGGTCCCTCCAAAAGCTAGACCTACTATGTGATCTAGCAGTCCATGCATGGGTATAATTCCAAGGGAAATGTACCCATTTGTTCATGGATTATTGCAGCACTATTCATAGTGGCCAAAAAGGGAAAGAGCTCAAGTGTCCATCCACTGATGAATGCATAAAGATACTGTAGTGCATAGGCACAATGCAATATTACCTAGTCCTAAAAAGAAAGAAATATTAAAATCTGCAACAACATAGATGAAACTGGAAGTCATTATGTTAAATGAAATAAGCCAAGTGTAGAGAGACAAACATCACATGAACTCATTCATGTAGAGTCTAAAAAATAGACTTCATAGAAATTAAAAATTGAAAACCTGATAGTTCCCTCCCCAGTCTCATAAATACTAACAAAGGAGTGATGGAGAAAGGTTGATTAATGGGTACTGGGTTATTACTAGTTAAGAGTAAGAAGTTTTAGGGATTTATTGTACAGTAGGGTGACTATAGATGATGTACTGTATATTTCTCTATTAAAAAACTGTTGGCTGGTGCCACAACTCACTAGGCTAATCCACCGCCTTGCGGCGCCGGCACACCGGGTCCTAGTCCCGGTCGGGGTGCCGGATTCTGTCCCAGTTGCCCCTCTTCCAGGCCATCTCTCTGCTGTGGCCAGGGAGTGCAGTGGAGGATGGCCCAAGTGCTTGCGCCCTGCACCCCATGGGAGACCAGGAGAAGCACCTGGCTCCTCCCATCGGATCAGTGCGGCGCGCCGGCTGCAGTGCGCCAGCCATGGCCATTGGAGGGTGAACCAACGGCAAAGGAAGACCTTTCTCTCTGTCTCTCTCACTGTCCACGCTGCCTGTCAAAAAAAAAAAAAAAAACAAAACCTGTTAAAGGATTTTTGGTGTTTTTACTATAAGGAAATGTTAAATGTTTGAAAGGACAAATCCATTTGCCCCTGATTGGACGTTATTCAATTACCACATGTAAGCAAGCATCACATAGTTCCCCATAAATATATCTTTTTATGTCTGCTGATATTTAAAAAAAATTATTGGAATATCGTGACATTGGAATGTAGGGCTGAGGCCATGCTTAGATTTCTGTCACATTTTGATTCTCTCGGAGGAGAGGTGCCTTGAAAAAGAGACTAGGGAACTGCAGCTAAGGTTCTAGTTTCTGTTATAGGTGCATGTATTTCACTTATCTATCTTTCCTGGAAATTTTCACACTTTTTCCAATATGAGACAGTAAATACTATTTGAGTTTTCATCCTTCTTAATAATGGAAAGCTACTGTCAAGAGGAGAAAATTCAGGTTTGAGAGCTAGGACCATGATAAATAAAAAAATCTAAGCTTGTTTTTATGATAAAAACAGTTAATAAAAGGGATACAAGAGATAGAAAAATGTGTAGTTAATCTTTTTCTTTTTTTAACTTTTATTTAGTAAATATAAATTTCCAAAGTACAGTTTATGGATTACAATGGCTTCCCCCCCCCCATAACTTCCCTCTCACCCCACAACCCTCCCATCTCCCGCTCCCTCTCCCTCTCCCATTCCATTCACATCAAGATTCACTTTCAATTATCTTTATATACAGAAGATCGACTTAGTATATATTAAGTAAAGATTTCATCAGTTTGCACCCACACAGAAACACAAAGTGTAACATACTGTTTCAGTACTAGTTATAGCATTACTTCACACTGGACAACACATTAAGGACAGATCCCACATGAGAAGTAAGTACACAGGGACTCCTGTTGTTGACTTAACAATTTGACACTCTTGTTTATGGCATCAGTAATCTCCCTAGGCTCTAGTCATGAGTTGCCAAGGCTATGGAAGCCTTTTGAGTTCGCCAACTTTGATCTTATTCCGACAGGGTCATAGTCAAAGTGTAAGTTCTCTCCTCCCTTCAGAGGAAGGTACCTCCTTCTTTGATGGCCCGTTATTTTTACTGGGATGTCATTCACAGAGATCTTTCATTTAGGTTTTTTTTTTTTTTTTCAGAGTGTCTTGGCTTTCCATGCCTAAAATACTCTCAGAGCCCATGAGAGTAATTAATCTTTTCCTTTGGATTTCATCTTTGGGTGTCTCAGCAAGTGTTGAAAATTAACTATCAAAATTAACAAAAATACAGTGACAACCAATACTGGAGCTGGTAAAATAATCTGTTTTTAAGAAACTTTGTCCTTCTCTATTGTTCTTATTGAGCTGGAAAATCCAAGGGCAAGAATGGATAGCAACCAACTTCTTGTTTTAAATGTAATAGGCAGAGTTTCATGCAGCAAAATTTCAAATCATGCCTATATTTAAGATGTAAGGTCAGCAGATTAGTATAGAAAATGATTTTGAAACTATTGGAGCCATTTGTAGGTTAATCACCTAGTATTCATTTCCCACCTCTTTACTCTTCCCACATGTACCTTTAATTTCTCAAATACTGCAGCTCCATCCAACCAGCATATCCCAATCCTCTGGACACCAAGGTTTGGTCTCAGGATGGTTATATGCCCTAATAGAAGTTAAATGTATGGAAGTATGAAAGGGTCTCTTCCTCCCTCTTCTTGGTTCTCTCCATTCTCTTCTTCCGTGTTGGTTGTGCCCATGTATGAAGCATTATTCTTGTTACTCATCAACTGACTTTCATTAACAAGAATATCAGACTTAAGGTGATGTCAACACTGTACGTGATAGAAGCAAAGCATCTGATATGTTTTAGAATGATCCCATTTATTCCAGTGGCAAAACTAATTTACTATGCTTCTTTACCATTTTTTAAGAATTTTATCCAATTTTGAATGTGGTACTATGAAAATTATTTGCTGAGCTTTATACTGGATAATTTATATTATTCAATCTGTAAATCAATACTATGGGTTAAATATTATTCATTCACAGACCAGGAAACTGAGGCACCTGGAGTTCAAATTATCTGCCCAAGGCACACAGTTAGTATGTGGCAGAGTCAGAATTCAGTCCCAACCAGACCTTGAGTTTGGGGACAGCTCTTCTGACGATCATACAAGTCTTATTCCTGAATATCCTAAAAGCAGCCCTTTGAGGATGGTTTTGCAGATGGAGCGTTTGAGCACTGGAGAAGTGAAAGTCTTGGTTGTATTTGGGATGGAAAGGCAGAGGAGGGGTAGTAAGGAATAATTTGGCTCTGTGGATACAGTTCACTCCCTTAGTTGGAGGTCAGTGGGCCCTGTTTGCTGCTGTCTTCCCAGTGCCCTTGGGCATCCTCCCTTTCTGTCTTTGACCTTGTCATCATCAATTAGCGTGTTAGAGCAATCCAGACGCTGTCCTGTGTGATTGGTCTCACTGCACTCTAACAAGGATGATCCTTTACATTTCCACAGTGGCCTGCAAGCCACCTAGGGTTTTCTCATCTCTGATCTCACTTGGCCCTTTCAAGCCCCCTCTGAGGTGGGCTAGCACCCTGTTATCCCTGCCTTGGATGCTGACATGTCAATTTGACATGAGTTAATTTTCTTACGTAAGTATGTTTTCTTGTAAATGACTTTGGTTCCGTCTTGCATGTTGTTATACGTGCAGCCGGACAGTGAGCCCACAATTAAGTGTTGTATGCTGTACACTCCTTCAACAATGCCACATCTTGGTACATGGTGTTTTCTCAGAACAAAAACCCAAAACCACGAAAATAAAACCCATTAATGTAATATAAATGAGGAAACATAGTTCCTTCTAGTAATGTGGGGCTGACACTGGCTTTCCACAGGCGATTGTTAAATACTCAGGAATTGTCAGCAGGTGATTAATCTGGCCGTTTGTCACTGATGGTGGGTTAGTTATACCATGCAAATTAGCAAAGGCTATGCATCAGGGCTGTGCTTCCTCGCCTCCCTTTTTGCTCCCCAGAACCTGTTAGCTGAGATGCTCCAGTTCTAACATTCGCACAGGCAACTGCCCTTCTTTCTGGATTAGCTGATGGCCATGGCCTGCATGTCTACACCAGGGAGAAGGTGAGGTCATGGTGTTAGTCTCTATGCCTTTGCTATCATGAGGCTCTGAACAGAGGATGGAGGTTTATGATCACTGTAGAAAACCAAACCACAGAAAAGTGCCTAGAGCAAGCTGGATGTGGAGGTCCAGAATGGACTTGACCAGCTCTGCAGCCTGTGGGTCTTCCCACCCATCCTGGACTGAGCCAGCACGTTGGTCAAGCTGCACCCAAGGGGGTTTGAGACTGCAGCAGGAGGCTCTGAGTTAGAAGGTGGTCTGCTTGAAGGTGGTCTACACCTCAAAAATTGTACTGTTAAAACTGAACAGAAAGTCTGGACTTAAGAGGCCCAGAGTTCTGCCATGGCTTCCATGAGCCCAAGCTGTTTCTTGTCTCCTCTCTACCACCCTCGGTGTGGGTGATGTTTCCCTGTCTGGCTGCAAGAACCTGTGATGGTTCTAAACAACAGGAAAGGAACACACCACAAAAACCATCCAGGATAGCCTGTGGCCCATTTTTTTCTTTTTCCTGAAGTAATGGTATTCTTTCCCTTAAGTAAAGGGCAAAAGGAACAAGAGAAAATGACATATGTTATGGAATATTAAAGATAGTTCTATAGTAAAAATAATTTTGATGTGCACATTTCCAATTATCAGGAAGCTCCAGTAAATCTGTGTGATAAGAAATTAATTAAGGAGGTCAGCAGCCCAAGACCATCCCAGGAATGGTAGTATACGAATGAGAGGAAAAACACTGTAAAAAGAATAAGCAAAAACTTTCGTTATAATAGCCAAGGCAGTAAAATGCTATTTAAATGGAATTGAGGGCCCAAATGGCTGCAATTATAGGGTACTGAAAAAATGTTCAAGAAAAATTTACTTTTATGGGAAGAAAATTAGATGAATCCACCACTGGACGCAAGGTACCTGAAGTCATAGGGGTTAGTGAGGCCCCCTGCTCTGAGGCGCTTGCTCTTCTGTTTTCCATTGCTACCACAGTGCCTAGCACACCACAGCTGCATAGATGCAAAGACAGTAAAGGGGGCAGATCCTGGAACTGTGGGAATGGATGGAGTTGGTCATGGCAGGAGGAGGCCCGGCCTGGTATTGGAATTGGGGTAGATTGGCTTCAGGTGGAGTTGAGGGGTTCCAGGTGTTCACGCCCTGTGTTGCCTTGATTGCTGCCAAGGAAACAGGACTGGCCTCCAAGTCTGGGTGAAGGGACTGTGAAGGCTACAGGGGCCACAAGGGAAGGATGATGATACTCACATTGCCTCAAGGGGCCTGTTTTCTTGTCCAACCCCTTTGACACAAAATCGTGCCTTTCCTTCTAGGCTGTTGAAAATCAAGTAATCAGATGATGAAAGTAGGTTCAGGTGGTTGACATAATTAACTCAGTTAACTGTTTTTGGAGGAAGGGGGCCAGTTAATCCAAACTCAAGGTGGGGTTAAAAGGTAGCTGCAACATACATGCTAGTTACATCATCAGTTTAAAAAGCATAGGAGAGGTGTGCTATGCCAAGATGGTACAGAAAATACTCTCACCCACAGTGTAGGGTATGGAGGAAGTCTTAAGATCTTTAAGATTATTTTTTGAAATAGTGATGTGTGAGTACATATGGTGAGAACGTTTTGTTGGAACTCTGTCTTCAGTAATCAGCAATGAAGATTTCTTTGAAGTATTATACTTCAAAATCCATTTGCTGATTGAGAAAACTACCCATCAGGGCAGGGATTTTGCATAGTGGTTAAGACTCTGCTTTGGATGCCCACAGTAATGGAATACCTGTGTTTGAATCCTGATTTAGCCTTGATTCTGATTTAGCTTCCTGCTGCTGTGCATCCCGGGGAGTGGGGGGCAGTAGATCAGTAGATGATGGCTCGCTCAAGTACTTGGGCTCCTGCCACCCACATGGGAGACCTGGATTGAGTTCCTGGCTCCTGGCTGTGCCCTGACTCAGCCTCAGCTGTTGTGCACTTGGGGAGTGAACCAGCAGATGGAATATGTCTGTCTGTCTGCTTCTTTATCTTTGCCTTTTAAAATAAATTAAAAACAACCGAAAAACCACCAGTCCATTCTTGGGAAGCAATATATGTTGTCTTTTTTTTCTGCAGACATGAGGTCTATTAGGCCTCAGACATGGGGTAGAGAGGCAGAGAGAAGACTATACATGCAAGTCATTTAATAAATGAATATTACAGCATCGCACTCCACATCCTAAGTGAGATGTATGAATTTAATATAAATTGGAAGCACCGTATCTGTGAAGGATCACAGCTTCCTTGTAAGAACCCTAATTTATTCAGCTAAAGCACCAACCATGCTCTGCCTTTGAACTTTCCTATCACATGCATATGCTCAAGAGAGGGTGGGGCTTTATTTTACTGAGGTTTGAGTCCTTTTTCTGGGGCAGCATTATCCCTCCCACAAAGAATATGGGAAAGGCCAAGGCTATAGAATTTTATCAATGTTGCTATGAGTTTAAGGTGTTCTATTATGTATTTCATGAATATGTCATTGTTCTCTGTAGAATCTGACACTCAGAGGAAATGTCTCTTAAAGATTACTTGAGAGTGAATAATACATGGAATTAAAAACAAGACAGTAAGTGAGAACATGAACAGAATCTAGGGCAATGACTAAAACTCAAGGACAATGAGAGCTCAATGAATTAGATAGGAGTCTCTGAGTTCAGGATTCTTGTTTGCTGATGACTCCCTTTCTCTTCATCTTCCCCCCCTTCCTCTATCTTTTCCTCCCACTGTTTCTCTTCCTCCTCCCTCTTTTCTCTCCTTCCCCCTTCTTCCTTTAAATTCTTCAGAAAAGTGACTCTGAATATCATAACTACTCAAAAAATAGCTTTGGAATTAATGAGTAGATACATGCATCTTTTATCTTGCTTCAGATCTTGCTGTGTTGGGTGTACTAAGTGATTGATAAGCAGGTTTGAAATAAAATTTCTGAATTAGTTTTTTATTCCTCTAAGAACTTCAATTTATACCTTTTGAACTTTTCCTGAATGGGAAACTCACAAAGTGCTGTTGAGGAAAGGATTTAATGAGCCTAGGTTAATTAAAAAAAAGGCATTTGTAATTAAACATGTTATGCAGATAAATGCTGAGAAATGTATTGAAACTAATTTTTCAATGGTGTCATTGGATTTCCTCTTGTACTTTTATATAACACAGTATATGACAAATTAATACGTTACTTCCTAACATCTAGTCATTTGTTTACTGTTCCTATGATTGAGATACTTACTTAGCACCTGTGTGGTTATTACTCGATACTCTCCATGACTTGACTCATTTTGTAATCCAGAGTTATTTAAAAAGGAAACTGGATATGAATACTGTGACTAGGAAACTATTATCCCCTGCTGCACACAGAAGGCAGCTCTCAGAGGAAATATAATGTGAAGAAAATGACATCCTTCAATTTTGGCAGGTTCTGTTGGGTGGAAGAGTGAGCCTCAGATTTCCCTTAAACAGAGGAAAACATTTGCAAAGCTTAAAAGTCATCTAAACTCTGAACCAAGTGGTGTCTCTGACAATGTTATAAGGGTTGATAAAAAATTCAAATAAAAATAACTTCTTTCTATGCCGTTAGAGTATAAACTTCAATGAAAAAAATTTAGATTTTTCATGCTGCCAAATGAGTTGGACTACAATTTCTGAAAGCTTCATTATTTGTATCAAATTGAAAACTTTCTCTTCATTCTTTATTTTCTTTAAAGCACATTCAAAATTAACATAGAGTGCAGTTTTGTTTCCTGCAGTGAATTTATTCCCTGCTCTGAAGCTGTCAGTGATGTGCAGGTTTTCTGTGAGGGCACTGCATTGCTGAGTCAGGTTTGCAGTTTTTGTATCACTAATGCTTCATAGTGAATGTCGTTCTTGGACATGGGGGTGCCCATGAACTTGTGTCATGCAAGGGTACTTACAATAGTTTGCAGAGAAATGGAATTGAAAGATGTTTATTTTGGTGCAAAAATTGAAGATCATGCAGTTTTATTCATGATCTATCTTCCATGAAATTTTTGAATATCCTAATCTTGATGAATTTAACATTTTTTAGAACCATAATAAGCTTCTGTTTTAATTCCATTTTCTGAACTTTTTGACATATCATTGTATATGTGAGTAAAACTTATTAGCATTTTACAATCTTATGGAACTAACTCAGCAGAAAATAAGTCTAAATGATCGAAATCCCTAGTGAATATAGCCATACACTATGGGTTTTAGTGTTTCAGTTTTGAAGAACTTTATTCAGCAATTGCTTTGGACTGGTTATCTCAACATTGATAAAGATCATTTCAGGTCATACTGGAACACAATCAGTTTGACCCTCTAGATTGAAAGAATTGATTTCTTAACAAGTAATGTAATAGTCTGTCAATTTAGCCAAACCCCTGGTGGTCAGGCACTTTAATCAAAATCAAAGTGATTTTGTGTAGAAATGGAAAAGAAAACTTGTAAGTTCCACATCATTGGTCTTTCCTGTCACTTTGGAGAAAGCTATATGGCACAAAACTCAGCCTGGAAAACTTAAACAAGAAAAAAAGGCAAATAAAGATTTTATTTGGAAATGTTAGATAAGGTAATGGCATGTGTTATATTATACCTCCTCATGAGTTTCACTAAATTATTTATTGCACCAACACAGTTGCAAATATGTTTGAAAGGCAAGAGTTGAAACAGTTGACATTCTTAGTGAGTGGTGGAGATACTTTTTACTTAATGTGGTATAGAACGCAACCTGCAAATGTATGGAAAATACTCTCATGACAGACCATTAACGGTTCATAAACATTGGAAATGGGCTGTTTTTGAAATGGCTGTGGAAATTTTGAATATTGTTTTTAACAATGAGTCAATACTAATTGATTAAATAACCAATTTAAATTAAGCAGAAAAGCTATTACAAGCCAAAAAGCTTAGGTAAAGGTTTTACTTTTAATAGTTTATCTGAACAAACAGTGAGATTAAATGTCAACATAAAAATGTAAACAGTTTTAAATAATTTAGAGAACTCTGCACACTTTCCACAAATGTACTACAAATACTTTAGTACCAATTCCTAAGGCATGAGGGATAATTTTAATAGTGCTTTATTTATAATAAAGCATGAATTTTCTTTAAATTGTTGAAAGCTTGGCCTGTTTTTCTTTAAGTTTTACTGTGTTCAAGTGTTTCCAGATATTTTGAGAGGAACTTCATTATTTGAATCGGAGAGATGCAAGTGGACCAGCTTGAGGGTTATGGGTAAAATTCTTCTTACCTGCCATATTTTGAAAAGAGAATGTCCAATCCTCACTAGATATTTGGACCTACATAAAGCATTCTGGAAGAATCATTTACTCTTTGTGCCAAATGACCAAATACATAAAGTTTCTGCCAGAAAGATAAAAAGAGATGACTGATAAGAAATGTACCTTTAAGTTTGACTTTCTTTGCTTGCTTATTTTTTTCTGCCTCATTGTCTTTCTTTGTCTTTGATGTGAAAGTATAAACAATCCTGCCATACAGTGTGGATGATGTTCAAAAACTGGTTGCCTACTATAATTTTTAAAACGATTTAGTGGGGGCTGGTGTTAGGGTATAATGGGTTAAGCTGCTGCCTGCGATGCATATGAGTGCTGATTCGTGTCCTGATCTGATCTGAGTGCTGGTTCATGTCGTGGCTCCTCTACTTCTGATCCAGCTTTATGCTAATGTTCCTGGGAAGGCAGCAAAGGATGACCAGAGTGCCTGGACCCCTGCCACCCATGTAGGAGACCCAGATGAAGCTCCTGGCTGGGCCAGGCTGTTGTGGCTATTTGGGGAGTGAACCAGTGGATGGGAGATCCTTCTCTTTTTTTCCTTCTCTTTTCCAAATAAATAAAAATCTAAATATATATATATATATATTATTTATTTGACAGGTAGAGTTACAGACAGTGAGAGAGAGACAAAGAGAAAGGTCTTCGTTCCTTTGGTTCGTTCCCCAAATGGCTGCAACAGCCAGAGCTGCGCTGATCCGAAGCCAGGAGCCAGGTGCTTCCTCCTGGTGTCCCAGGCAGGTGCAGGGGCCCAAGCCCTCGGTCCACCCTCTGCTGCTTTCCCAGGCCACAGCAGAGAGCTCGACTGGAAGAGGAGCAACCGGAACAAGAGCCGATGCCTATATGGGATACTGGCACTGCAGGCGGAGGATTAACCTAGTTAAAAAAAATGATTGGGTGAAGTGATTAATTTAGGTACAAATATAATGTTTTGTGTCAGTGAGAAGCTTGATAATGCTCTGAACATCCTTTGTTACATCTGCAGAAGGTACTGGGAATTAGAAGCTTTAACTCTAGCTCTGTTATCATGGCTTCTGGATAGGGTATCTTTGACTTCTGAGTCCGTAATCTTGTTGAGTTGCATAAGCAATAGCTATGTGTATGGATTTAAGTTAGAGATACTTGATAAAGTATTTTAAGATAGTTTCATTTCATATCTTTTTGAAAGCCATGAAAAAGCTTTCTTAACCATGATTATAAAAAAATTATCTTGGCCTTGAACTTTCTAAGAATGCAAAAAAGTTACTTTCCTTTATTAAGATGTTAATCCTTACCATACTACCCTACGGGAGTCTGGAAGAATTCGCTTGTGATGAAACATTGCTAGAAGTCAAAAGTTAATAGTAAAATTAATGAAAAAAGTTATTAATATAGAGTAAAGCAGTGTCCCGGAAAGAATCAAGGAAATCAAGGAATCTTCCCCAAGGGTTAGGATGTTTTCTATGGGAGAATTAACATTTAAAAAAAAAAACAGAAAATGATAATAGAAATTTAGATTTTTACCATCTATATTAAGACGAAATCTCTCATAGTCATGAGTGATCAGATTTTACTCTTTTTAAAAAGATATGATAACTAAGCAACACTGGCATCCCATTCTCATAAGCCATTTTCTCCCTACAGACCCACAGTTTGTATTCATTTTCAAATAGTTCTAAGATCTTAGAAAACTGATGGCCCTAGACAGAGGGAGCCAAGGAGTTGATAGCTCTGACCCTTTGCTGGCAGTGGGTAGGTGGGGATTGGAAAGGTTTCCCTCTAAGATAGAATCTCAGAAGTATAGGCCATACTTTAGCCAGCAGTCTCTGACTTACAATTCTTGGACTTAGAGTTTTTGACTTCACAATGGTATACAAGTGATAAACATTTAATAGAAACTGTTCTTTGAATCTTGACTTGATCTTTCCACAGGCCAGTGATACATGATAGGACATGCTTTGAGAAGCCACAGCCTTATGACCCAGAGAGGAAACAATTGATACTCTACAACGTGTGCTGTGTTGGTGGGGAAGGATGTTCCGTGGGTGAGATGTATGACCCTGGTTTTTTTAGTTGAAGGTATTTTCAACATGCGATGGGTGTACTGGGATGTAACTGATGGAAGTTGAGGAGTATCAGTACTGAAGATCTCAGTTTCTGACACCTAGACTGGTTAACAGACTTAGGCTAAACAAAATAAAGGTCTGTTGCTAAGAGAGAAGGAAAGAATTTACACTGGGAAGGAATCTCCCAGAGAGAGAGGGAGAGAGTGGGGGAGAGAGAGAGAGGATTCCAGAGCTCCTAAGAAAGCAAAGGACAAAGTGCATTGATAGGGGTCTCTGGAGAAAAAGAACAAGTGATAGAGATTTTTATAAGGAACTGGCTCACATGATTGTGGAGCCTGAGGAACCCCACAATCTAGTTTGAAGGCTTGAGAAGCAGGTGAACTGAGGGTGTAAGTTCACGTCAGGATCTGAAGGCAGGAGAAGCCTAACGTCCCAACTCAGGACATTTGGGTAGAGAGAATTCTCTTCCTCAGCCTTTGTTCTCTTTAGGTCTTCAATGTCTGGATGTGGCCAGACAACCTTGGGGAGGACAATTTTCTGTATTCAGCCGATCCATTTCAAATGTTAATCTTACCCACAAATACCTTCACAGACATACCAGAGTAATGTTGAACCAAATATCTGGTTACTCCATGACTGTCAGGTTGATAAAATTAACCAGGATCACTAGGCCTTGATACTTGTTTAAAACCATCATGAAGGTTTTTAGCACCAAGTTGCTAGAAGGCTTCACTTGAAGCATCAGTCAGGAGGAGGAGTTATGCCAGGCGGACTGATGCATGTGGAGGCACCATGTGATCACATTATGCCAACACAGACCCAAACACGTGATTTCACAGCAACAGGGCAGCACACAGGTGCCCAGTGCTTATGGGTGAGGGAGAAGGGATAATATAAGACGAAAGTGCTTCAGAAATCATTAAGTGAGAAATAGTGTTGAAATCTCACCTATTTACCTTGTCCCCATTTAGAAGATAGAATAGTTGTCATACAACACTGTCAAAAACCTGTCCACCCCATGCCAACAGTGAGGTGAATCAACCAGGTTGTTTCAGCCCTCATAGATCATTCATTCATTCATTCTTTCATTCATTCATAAACCATCCAGTAAACATCTCTTGAGCACTTTCTTGGAGGCTGGTGATGGTTGTGGCAGTTTGGAAACAGCAGTACAAATAGTCAAGTGCCTACTTTAGAGGGCTATATCCTATTGGAAACAGCAGCCAGTGAGTGGATAAAGAAAGAACAACTTGGCTGGTGCCGTGGCTCACTAGGCTAATCCTCCGCCTGCGGCGCCGGCACCCCGTGTTCTAGTCCTGGTTGCGGCGCCGGATTCTGTCCCGGTTGCTCCTCTTCCAGTCCAGCTTTCTGCTGTGGCCCAGGAAGGCAGTGGAGGATGGCCCAGGTCCTTGGGCCCTGCACCCGCATGGGAGACCAGGAGGAAGCACCTCGCTCCTGGCTTTGGATCGGTGCAGCACGCTGGCTGTAGCGGCCACTTGGGGGGTGAGCCAATGGAAATAGGAAGACCTTTCTCTCTGTCTCTCTCTCTCTCTCTAACTCTGCCTGTCAAAACACACAAAAAAAAGAACTAAGTGTCCACATTTCATACATTGTGAACTGTTGTACAGTGAAACAAGTAGAGTGAGGGACTATGGAGTAGAGGTGAATGGGAATGAGAATGCGCTGTGTAGGCTGCTCAGGCAAGCCTCCTTGTTACCACGAACATAGGAGAAGATACTTGAATGACATAGGAAGCCTATTTCTGTGCAGATATTGAGGGAGGAAATGCTGGGTAATAGCATGTTTAAGTGCCCCGAGAGAGATGGAAATGCATTGTCTCTGAGGAGGCGAGACAGCCTGTGTGGTGGAATGGAGTGAGTGGGAGATGAGGTGAAGGGATCGGTAAAGACTAGATCCTGCAGAGATCCGTGGAGCATATGAGGAGTCAGATTTTCATGTGAGGAGAGTCGATGCATATCTATTATATATCTATTATAGTTGGCCGCAGTCAAATGATGTTCGCTAATCCTTGCTTTGAAAAGTTCAGTTTGTTCAATGGTGAGTAGGTTATAGGGAGGCAATGAGGGAACCATGGAGATGAGGTAGGCTTTTTTTCATCTTGCCTTTTTTTTTTATTATTTTTTAACTTTTATTAATGAATATAGATTTCCAAAGTACAGCTTATGGATTACATTGGCTCCCACCGACCAATGACTTCCTCCCACCCGCAACCCTCCCCTTTCCTGCTCTCTCTCCACTTCCATTCATATCAAGATTCACTTTCAATTTTCTATATATACAGAAGATCAGTTTAGTATGCATTAAGTAAAGATTTCAACAGTTTGCACCCACATAGAAACACAAAGTGAAAAATACTGTTTGAGTACTCGTTATAGCATTAAATCTCAATATAGCACATTAAGGACAGAGATCCCACATGAGGAGTAAGTGCACAGTGACTCCTGTTGTTGACTTTACAAATTGACACTCCTGTCTATGGCATCAGTAATCTCCCTATGCTCCAGTCATGAGTTTCCAAGGCTATGAAAGCCTTTTGAGTTCTCCGACTCTTATCTTGTTTAGACAAGGTCATAGTCAACATGGAAGTTCTCTCCAATGAGGCAGGCTTTTGCAGTTGTCTAGGTGAGAGATGAATTAGCTCAGACTACAGTGTATATAGCATTGGAAGTGAAGTGATGACAAGTATAGGCTTTGTAGTTTGAATTTTGAGCGTAAAACCCACAGGCTGGTTTCTTCTTTTTTTTTTTTTTTTTTTGATGGTTTGGATCACAGTTAGGGATAGAGTGATAATTAAAGGTGATTTGCTTGGTGGGCGTTGTGAAGCAGTGGGTTGAATTGCCACTTAGAATGTCTTCATCCCATATTGGAGTCCCTGGGATTGATCCTGCCTCCAGACTTCCAGTCTACCTTTGTGCTATTGCACCTGGCTGGCAGAAGAAAATGGCCCAAGGGCTTGGGTCCTTGCCACCCATGTGGGAGACTTGGATGGAGTTCCTGGCTCCTCGCTTCTGCCTGGCCCAGCCTTGGGAGTGAACCAGCAGACAGAAGATCTCTCTGTGCCTCTCCTTGCCTGTCACTTTGCCTTTCTAATAAATAAGTAAATCTTTAAAGAAGATTATTTGCTAATCAAATATTGTAAGTAATAAAAGATTACACTTAGATGTTTGGTCTGAAAAACAATGGATGGTGGTGCTGATAATGGATGGGGGTATAACTGAGGGAGGCTCAAATTGGTTGATAGAAAAGATGAGTTGTTCCTTGGCCATCAGTTTAATATTCCTTCAGACACCCAAGTAGAAATGTTAAATAGGCAGCATCAGGATACCAAGCATTTTGAACACTGGTAGGAGTCTGGAAAGAGACTATTTAAAATTTAACATGAAACCTATGGACTACGTAATATAGCTTGTGAACAATCAGTGAGTTGGTAATGATATAATACCATAGAACTCAATGAGATTATCTAGTGAGAATCGAATATAATGAAGGCAGCCAAGGACTTAACCTTAGAGAATATTGATGTTAAGAGCAGGGGTAGCCAGCAACAGACAGAAAAGCAAATGCCAAGGAATTAAGAAAAAATAAAACAGAAAAGCACTCTTTACTGGAAGCCAAGTGAGGCAAGTAATTACAGAACAAAGCATTATTCAGTTTGCAATTTTAAGAGGTTGAGTAATTTAGAGACATGTGGCAAGAAGGAGGCTGTTAATGACCTTGATTTGCAGAGCTTCATGGGAATTGTGCAGAGGGAAGGCTCACTGGAGTTGATTATAGAATGGATGGGATGGTGCAGAGAGTCTTTCCCTAAGCGGCAGTGGGGAAATGGGACAGAGGCTGGAGGGAAAAATAAAATTAATGGAGTTTCTTTCAATTGTTTGCTTTCCTTTTTTTTTTTAAATTTATTTGACAGGTAGACAGAGAGACAGAGGACAGAGACAGGTCTTTCCATTGGTTCACTCTCCAAATGGCCACTACAGCCGGCGCTGTGGCGATCTGAAGCCAGGAGCCAGGTGCTTCTCCTGGTCTCCCATGCGGGTGCAGGTGCCCAAGCCCTTGGGCCATCCTCCACTGCCTTCCCAGGCCACAGCAGAGAGCTGGACTGGAAGAGGAGCAACTGGGACTAGAACCCGGTGCTCATATGGGATGCCAGTGCCGTAGGCGGAGGATTAACCAAGTGAGCCACAGCTCTGACCCCTTTCCTTTATTTATTTTTTTAAGAGATTTACTTATTTATTTACTAACTTATTTTATTTGAAAGGCAGTTACAGAGAGGCAGAGGCAGAGAGAGGTCTTCCGTCCACTGGTTCACTCTCCAAATGGCTGCAATGGCTGGAGCTGGGCTGATTTTGAGCCAGGAGCTTCTTCTGGGTCTCCCACATGGGTGCAGGGGCCCTAGGACCTGGGCCATCTTCTACTGGTTTCCAAAGGCATAACAGAGAGCTGGATCGGTGCATCTGGGACTTGAAATGGCTCCCATAGGGGATGCTGGCACTGCAGGTGGCAGCTTTACCTGCTACACCACAGCACTGGCCCCCTCCACCCTTTTTTCTTATTTTAAAATTAGTTAATTTGAAAGGACGATGAAGAAAGAAAATGGAGAGGTAAAGAGAGAGAGGGATCTAATTATCAATCTTCCATTTTCTGTTTCACTCCCCAAATGGGTTCACTCCTGGGCCAAACTGAACCCAGGAGCCTGAAACTCCATCTGGGTCGCCCACATAGATGGCAGTGACACAAGCACTCGAGCCATTGCCTTCCCAGGCACATGAGCAGGAAGCTGAATCAGAAGCAGAGCAACTGAGACTCAAATAGGTGCTTGGATATGGGATGATGGTGTCGCAAGCAGCAGGTTAACTTGCTGCACCACAATGTGGGCCCTGATTGTTGGCTTTTCAAGGCAAGAGACTTTTTACAGCATAGTTCCACCCTAATGGAAACAACCCAGTTGAGGCGGGGAA